TGATGGAAGGAAATGCATATTTGGGGCTGGACAATTGGGTTAAAACATAACCATAATCCTTAAAATTTCATCGAGTAATCTGTTGAAAATAAGCGAATTACTGAGGAAGTTGGACATCTGGATCATTTGTAAAAAGAAAATAACACTGTCTTCGGTATTGCCTTCTTTTCAAGAATACTTTGACCCGCTCTCCAGATCGGGCTGTTAGAAGATTTTGTGTTCATGTGGTAGTGCCTATGTGAGTGACGTTTAGGCTCATACATAAGAGGTTATCCGAGTACAAACATTGCAGGATCAAAGTAATAAGTGTTTTATAGGAGGATGCAGCTGTTCGGTCACAAATGCACTAGTTTCCCTCTTCATCCGCAGCCACTTCACATGCCATAGGCAGTCACTCAACTTCACTTTTGAGTAAACATTTAGGCAAAGCATAGTTCATCCCACTAAAACATGAGATGTAAAGGAAGTGGACCAAATTAAATCTCCTGGATGGGGCAACTATGTTGTGCTCATCCTGGGAAGTCGAGTTTGAGGCCTCAAGATATTTGATTTTGCTATAAAGAAATCTGGTCTCCACATTATTATATGCGGTTACGTTTGATGGAAGAGACCAGTATCATTTCGTGGTATAGAAGTTGTTTGACTTAGTCTTCGCAACTTTGTCGTATAGCTAAGAAGACCAAGTTGCGAAAGCAGGGTCAAACAACTTCTATACCACGAAAGGAGACCGCAAACATACTAAAGGTCCAACCATCTTGATCTTCATACATTGGATTAATTATTTCTTGTTTATCGGGTCATATACAGTTGTTATTGGTGTATTATGATTAAGGCCAGCGTTAGATAGCCGTGAGAAAAATAAGATGTGTGCCAAAGCTCATTGCAGAAGTTCAGCATTTATGCTTTTTCCAATATATTATTTTGATGTTATATGGCTAGGATTTTTATTTTTCTCCAATATATATTGTCACTTTACTGGCATTTGTACCTATACTTCTTTTATAAACTATTAATTGGACTCCAACCAAACCAAAGCCCTCACCATTTAGAATCTAATTCTATACTCTTGTTGATATATTTCCAGCAACTTTAGACTTATGAAGATATGAAGTCTAAGATGGTGTGGCCCCCGGTATGGTCGCCGCTTTAATCGGAAGGGAGATAATTAGACCCAGTCAGGATCAAGTTTATGTCGCCATGACAAGAGCACGCCATTTTCAGCTATATTCCCTGGGCTCCTCATTGGCCCTGAGTTTGCTTTGCTGACGTTGACAAATGTCCACACGAGCTACTGTTTCATTATTAGTTGAAAATAAAGTTTTTATTAATGCCCTCGCGTCTGAATCGGCCATGTCTATTAGCAGAATCGTGGGTCTGGCTGACACAATAATTAGTTCGCTCTGTTAGCCATGCCCTCTGGCTGACACATGACAGACATGAATGCAAATTGTCAAGCTACGAGTGGTCAGTCAGACCAGAGGAAACAAGACACTTCCTTCGAAATTGGTGGTTCTCGTTCCGGTGAGGCAGAAGGTGGGCGGATCTTTCTACCACATGCTGCTGCATGGACAGATGATGTCGAAGTTAGCATGTCAGCACATCGCCAATCTAATTACACAACTCTCGTAGCACAAGCAACACACGTTGCGCCCAGAAATTCATGCTTCCGTATCTGCTTGTAAAGTAAAACCGTAAAGTTAGGCAAAAAGTGACCTGTATCGTCTCTGCACCTCATTGAAATTTATTGGGGTATAAAGCATTCTGACAGCTTAGAAATGGAAATAATAATTAATATATTATCGTCGCTTTATCAGTAGTACGAGCAAATGATCTTACAATTGCTCCATATCAAGTTTGTCGGTTTCGAAACTTTCTGTAGATCCTGGGTCAGCCTAGGTTATCTCTGGTGAGGAATTTCCCACAACACTACGCGTAGACCTCATGGCGATATTGAATTTCCCTCAGATGTGCCCAAAACACGAAGTTTATCATTCAAGGTTGGCTCGAGTCTTGATTTTAGCAGTAGTAGAATAATCAAAACTTTGTCACTGCCCTCGATCGGAAATGAGGTAGTGTAGCATTCGTTTGGCATAGGTCAGCTCATTTACACTTGACAGCTCTCGCCAGCCCATCTGACCCTTTCCCGGCCACTTTACCCTCGATTTTCCATGTTCCTGTCGGTCGCCAACCGGCATCTCAGAGCGCCTGAATGGGGCCTCACTTAGAGTGCTTACAGCAAATGCGCTTGGCCCTGCAGAGTTCTTGTGTAATCCCAGGAGCGCTCACAATCACGACAACCGGGTTGCCAGGGCTGTGGGAAACAGTGTGTCTGAGTAAGTCGCTAATTTGCGGGTCTTATTTGATTAAAAAATCGTTTCCAATGGATGATGCAGGGCACAAACAAAAGAGTGGGTAAAAGAGCAAGAGAGCAAGAGAGAGAGAGAGATAGTGAAAGAGAGAGAGAGGCTGAGGAATAGAAAGGGAGGAGAGCGAGTGAAAGGATGGGGAGAGATGGGAGATAAAATGTGACGGATGGACAAGTTTGGAATGAGCAGTAAAACGATGAAATGTCGTCGGTCATGTTTGCACATTTGTGACACGGGCCACTTCTCCGTCCTCTCTTGTGTGACCGGTTCGGACACATCACCTCTGGCGTAGGGGTTTGACCAAGTGGTCGGGCAAGCCGAGGGAAGCTGAGAGGACAAAAGAGGAGGCCCGACACGTGGCCAGCCTCTACCCTACTCTGGCTGGCCAGGCACCCCGACAGGGACTATATATCTAGGCCCACAAGCTGGTCTTGGTACCTGTGTGAGCGAGTATTTAGCCGAAATTACGACACCTCATGATCCCGCCTAGGCAACACAGTCTAGAGATGTGGGCCCACGCAGACGGTGCGGCTATCTCCTCGTCCGGGGACGTCGCCGCCTTTGCGAAAAACGTCCAGCGTAGGGCGGCTGTCGAGGCCCAACGTAGACGACGAGTCTGTCGACAGGATTTAAGGTGGCAGGTCGATCTGAACTGGATACATGAGATGTGTTTGCCCTATTTTTCAAGGCGATAAGTGTACAGGCACATGCATTTTCTCAAAATAGCATGACTAGACTATACATTTCCATTAAATTTCACAGCTTTGCCTCCTAGCATATGTTTCTATGACTTCATCTCATATCTTTCAAGCGTAAATTGAAATCTTATTAGAGGATTATTTGATATATATGTATCATTAAGGACCGTAGATCAGGATTTTAAATAAGCTATGAAGAGAAAACCTTAGCTTAGATTTTATTGTACCAACTTCCTCACTCAAAGCATACTAAAGAAAAAAAGGCGAAAATATTATATTTATTACTATAAACTGCTATAGAACTACCATCTGCTTATGACAGTAGCGACAAAGAGAGCTATGTTGTTATACCCTATATTTTGTTTTAAAAGGCAGTGGAAAATAGGAGATAATTGGATTTACCACAGCCAAGAGGGTTGCCTGCTAATTGAGTGCTGATTAGTGCAAAACGTTATCGGCGCATCATTATTCGACCTCAATTGCTACTTGCCGTTGAGATTCATTCTATTTCGAGTAAAAGTGTTTGGTGAAGAGATTCGAAGATCGAGCCCTCGAAACCCAACTTTTCTTCGTTGAGCTTTCGACTGTCCCGACATGGCAGGACACTTTTTTCAGTTTAGTCTTCTGAAAGTTTATTCATAAGGGGTGTCCGTCATGGCATGAATCAGAATCGCAAGACATTGCGCCCTCTAACAAATCTACAAGCACATCTCCAATCTAGGCAACCTTCGGTTTTCAATGCGGCTAAGGTATGAAACTTATATACTCGCCTTTTCAATC